CCAGTAGGAGGAGGAAAAAAGAGAACCCTTTGTTTGGTTTGTCCTGAATAAGGAGACATTGTTTGATTGATTGACTGACTGATTGATTATGTGCTATCAAGAGGTATTGATTCTTAGAGACCACAGAGATTTCCTGCACTGTCCACAATCTAGTCCTTCAGGTCTTCCAACGGTGCCCCCATCACCACTGAAACTGAGTCCACCCCCCTTGCTGCTGGTCACCCCCTTCTCTTTCCTTCCACTTTTCCCAGCATTCTGGATTTCTCAAGGAAAATTACTCTTCTTCTTTTTGCTCTATTACATAAATAAAGGTAAATATGTGTTTGCTGAATCAACTGCCCCCCAGCATCCTGCCGTCCTGTGCGTCAGAGGCCGCACAGAAAGGAATCAGAGGCATTGCCTGGCTCGTGGTTTGCTTTCAGCCTTCCCTCAACTCCCAGAATTCATAGCCATGAGTTTCACTGCCAGCTGGGGATTCTGGGAGTTAATTAGCCCAACTCATCTACCAAGCTGGGGAAAACGTCTTTAATATCGTGCTGAAAGTAGTCTGTATGAACCCCTTAATGAGTCATCTTCTTTCTGGACAGGGAAGCAACTGTGCAGCGTCACGCCAAGGAAACAGACCCCGTTCGAACCATGGGAGCCATCCGGAAGGAAAAGGACAACTTCAAAGTGCCGAAGGAGTAAATGGTCTAGATCTACTGCTGCTTTTCTTTTTCTGTTATTTAGTTCAAGAAATCGATGTTTCGTTGACCTGTTTTATTGAATTCATTCACACGACGGAATTCAGTAGGAAAAAAAACCACCAAAGCACTTTGCTGTTTAAAAAAATGTTAAAATTTAATTATTCTTGTACCTGTGGCACTCGGCTGATAATTATTATTTTTTTTAGCGTGATGCATGGAAATTTTGTGGATGTACCTACAGGGGAGCGGTGGGGTGTGTTTTTTGTCACTGGGGTCAAATGTGGACAAACCTTGTTCCAGTGACACGGGCTTTTTTTGGAAGGTGACTCTGAACCCTCTGCCTCTCGAGTCGAAATGCACACTCTCGTCTCTCGTTCCATTCTTAGATTTTCCATTCATAATTATTACTTGAAAGACTCTCATAAGAACACCTCTGTGGCTTTTCTACACCTCGAAATGAACGGCAAAGGAGCATTTGCTGCTATTCCAAATGCTCCTTCGATCTCAGCGTTTGAGATCTGCATGCGCTTCCTGCTGTCAGTGGGCAAAGAGCCCCTGAGCACATGTGCCAGCCTCTCAGGGGAGCAGGAGCAGGCTGGGAAATCCACAGAGGAGAAGTGACGCTGCCAGGGACAAATGTATGGAGGTATTTGTATATCTTTAAATAGGAAAATGGTGATTCTTTTGACAGCACTGTCATTTCTACACTGCACTTTAAAAAGAAAAAAAAATTAAAATCTATTTTAACCATCATGGCTTCAACAAGAAGTGACTAGCAACTTCATTAAATACTCTCAGCACTCTGGAAAAACTCCAGTTCTTAGAGATCCTTGTGTGCTGGGGAAGCAGTGACAGTAAAAATGGTGTGTTTTCTTTTTCTCTCTTTTTCTCTCTTTCTCTCTTTCTCTCTTTCTTTCTTTCGCTGACAAGGCGGACTTTCACTTGGAAAGCCTTTGGCGTAGACAGCTTCATTACAAGCTTGCTTGAATTGTCATTCCCTGTTGATTCAGCTAATGTACCTGTAAATAAATATATCTAATAAATATTACTTTAAAAGATGATTGAACAGGAAAACGTTGCCATTTTCAGCTCCAAGAAGTTTGAAAACTACCGTGACCTCATCTGCCTTATGCCAACTAGAGTCTGGCAAAAGGAGATGTGTGTCTCTCCATGCCAAATTCTCAGGATACCTTCTTAAAAATGCCAGTTCCTCTGTGCTCGATGTTACAAGGGCCATGTCCCGAGTTTGCACTGGCTATGAACAAAAAGGTGTTTTTTCCCCCTCCATCCTCCTCCAGACTTCAAGATGTTTTACAGGTGGAATGGATCTTTTCCCTGGACTTTCTCTAACCCTTGCTGAATTTACTGGAGTGACTTTTAATAAGTAAGGACAAAGAAGCATCTTTCACCTTTGGGAAAATCAAAACAAGGCGATCTTCTCGGAATTTTTACCGTAGTGTTTGGTCTGAAAGCCAAGCGGGGTTGGGCCTGGTTTAATATGTGGACAGGAGGCCAACCAGGAGACCAAGGCTGAGGGGTAAAACAGTATCCCAGAAGAGAGCGGCGGCCAGCCGTTTCCACATGGCTGCTAACTTAACACAGGACAAAGTCACCAGGACTCTCCTCTTTCAGAATTTGTCTGGTCTCCAGAAGCTACGTAGGACGAGGCCCGATTCATTTTGGGGTGGAAAGCCACCAGGAAACCTCAGGGCTGCAGATCAGACTGGAAATAATCATGGATCCCAGAACGCAGCCGCGAACAATGCTGTGCTTTTGCAAAGAAAACGTGGACGTCGCTCAAGGAGGCGGCAGCAGCCGAGCAGCTCGAGGGAGCCTTTGCTTTTCCCATCTGACAGAAGTCCGTCCTTGGGGAAGAGCGGCTTCGGCCCCCCAGCCCGGGATTTCTGACTGACACGTGTTGGTGGTTGCAGGGAGTGTTTGGCCTTGACTGCGTGTGAAGGCGTCTCCTTCCCTTCCTGCCGCGGACAAAAAGATGGTCGGGCGTCTCCAAAGAGGGGCCGGGCGAGGGGCACTCGGGTCCCGCTTCAGACCGGGGGACTGGGGGGGTGGCTCCAGCCCGGCCCGGGAAAAAAGGGGTTGGAAAACTATGCGAGCCACTT